GAGGCTCCATTTGCAGGTCAAAGCGACTTTTTGCAAATGCAGCCATTCATAAATCATTCGCAACTAGGGATGTTCATAAGTCGTACCACTGTATGTCAGGTCTTAAAATAAATAAACAAAAACCAAAAATTCTGATGAAAAATATGACAAAAGAAGAAAACGAAAACACTCCGGATATCAAGAAATGTGCAAGGTTAAGTACTTAGGAATTAGCAGGTCAAAGCGACTTTTTGCAAATGCAGCCATTCATAAATCATTCGCAACTAGGGATGTTCATAAGTCGTACCACTGTATGTCAGGTCTTAAAATAAATAAACAAAAACCAAAAATTCTGATGAAAAATATGACAAAAGAAGAAAACGAAAACACTCCGGATATCAAGAAATGTGCAAGGTTAAGTACTTAGGAATTAATATGACAAAAAAACAAGTATATTAATGAAAGACAGTTACAGTGGTGCCTCGTTTAACAGGCGCTCCGTTTGACGACGATTTTGCGAAGCGATGATTTTCGGCCAGCTGATTGGTGGTTTCAAAATGGCCGCCGGGTAAACAAACTGGCCGCCCGCTGTTTTCTGGGATGGATTCCTCGCTGCACAGGCAGCGACAATGGCCACCCTCTGGAGGATCTTCGCTGGACGGTGAGTTTCAAGCCCCTAGGAACACATTAATCGGGTTTTAATGCGTTTCTATGGGCTTTTTAATATCGCTTTACGACGTTTTTGTTTTACAGCGATTTCGGTGGAATGAATTAACGTAATGTGAGGCACCACTGTATATGGAAGTAATGAAAGAAATCAAAGTAGATTTGCAAAAATGGACTAAACTCCAAGTATCCCTAATGGGTAGACTAGCCGCAATAAAAATGACTATACTACCAAAACTAGTTTTTCTCCTTCAAACAATTCCAATATTAAAACAAGACTTTTTTTTAAAGGACTGAGTAAGATAGTGACCAAGTTTGTTAGGGAAAGGGAAAGACCAAGACTAAAACTTAAGGCTCTTCAGGACAATAAACAAAAAGGAGGGTTTGGTCTACCAGACTGGATGAATTATTACAGAGCAGCAGACGGGCATGATTTAAGACTGCGCTGGCATGCCTAACTATGGTACCAAGATGATAAGCAATGCAAAACATTTAATTTCCATCTGATTAGGAGAGCTTTATTATGGTTCTGGAAGACAGTTAAGACATTACAGAAAGATACCATCATGGGTAGCGCTCCATTAGAAATGTTCTCTGATCCTGCAAGAACACCACAAGGGACAAATGGGAAATATGCAGAGATATTAGATAGTGATTTTAATCTAAAGAACAAAGATGAACGGGCAGAACAAGGTATTATTTTAGACTGGTGGTTGATAAACTTGTTGAAATCAAGATATGTAAAAGATAAGGCTACAGGGTTTCAGAAAGACAAAATACCTTTGGATAAGGGGTTGCTGGATTCAGAGGAAAAATTGATTAAAGATTTATATAATACTTTAATGGAGAAAAAATTGAAGATGAATTTGTGAAGGATTGCATGGTGAATATTCTATAATTCATAATATAGAATTAATATATTAATTCTATATTATGTCAAAATATAGGACATAATATAGAATTAAGTGCCTGGTCACAAATTTGGGAACGAAACATTAAAATGACTAAATCTATAAACTTAAAAGAAAATATATACAAAATGTTTTATAGATAGTATGTAACACCAGAGAAATTAACAAAAATGCATAAAAATGTTTATAATAAGTGCTGGAAATGTGAAAAGAATGTAGGGAGCTTCTGTCATATGTGGTGGACGTGCAATAGGGCCAAGGACTTTTGAAAAAAGATTGTTAAAATGATAGAGAAAATTTTAAGCGTTAAAATTGCTTTGACACCAGAAAGCTTATTGACTATATTACCAGCTGCACTCGAAAAAAACAAGACCTACACTTGACCTTAAAGCTGATAACGGCAGCTAGAATTGTATATGCCAGTAAGTGGAAGACGAAAAAGGTACCGATAAGGAATTTATTGAGAAGATTTTGGAATTAGCAGAAATGGATATTTTGGCAGATACACTAAATGACAGACTAGAACCTCTTTATGCCTGGATGAAATCTACATCAATTTAAGTAGAATAGATTAGATTAATACTATGTTAGAGAGTATAAGATAAGACTAAATGAATGGAACATATTGTAATAAATCACTCTGGCTGCAACGGATAGAAAAATACAATAAAAATATTTAAAAAATAAAATAAAACGGACACAAATACAGACAAGAGACAATAATTTTAAAAAAGCCCACTGAGTATTAAAAGTTCAACATCTGTCTATTAAAAGTGTATTATGTGCTGTGGGATACATTGCTCAGGAATTTAGGCATCTGACTGAGGGGCTGGACTCCATGATCCAGAGAGTGCCTGCCAACATTGATGGTCCTCCAAAGGAGCTGGAGCCATGGAATCCTAGTTCCTAGATGAGCAGACAGGAAGACTAGAAGTCACTTCCTCTTTCCGCCCCCAGGGTGCGCCCGTCTTTTCCTTCCCGGAAGAGCTCTTCCTTTCTTCAGAGTTCCAGGTGGAAGTGAAGGCGCCTCTAAGGGAAGCCGGGAAACCCCCGGGGAAGGGGAGAAGGAGGGGAGGTGGGGCAGCGGTTGGAGAAGCTGGTTGTGGGGCTTGGCTTGAGGGGGGAAGGGAGGGCAG